AACAGTACCTGGAGAAAATTATAAATGCTGGAGAAGATGTGGGAAAATTGGAATGCTAAAACATTGTTGGTGGAGTTGTGAACTGATCCAACGATTCTGGAGAGCAACTGGGAACTATGCACAAAGGGCTATAAAAGTGTGCATACCGTTTGATCCAGCAATACCACTACTAGGTCTGGATCCCAACGAGATCATACAAATGGGAAAAGGACCCACATGTACAAAACTATTTATAGCAGCTCTTTTGTGGTGGCAAAGAATTGGAAATTGAAGGATGTTGATGAGTTGGGGAATGGATGAACAAGTTGTGGTATATGAATGTAATGGAATACTATTGTGCTATAAGAAATGATGAGAAAAAAAAAGAAAAAAAAAGAAATGATGAGAAGGCAGACTTCGGAAAAACCTGGAAAGACTTGAATGAACTGATGCTGAGTGAAGTGAGCAGAACCAGGAGAATGTTGTACACAGTAACAGCCACATTGTGTGATAACTAACTTTGATAGACTTAGCTCTTCTTAGCAATGCAAGGATCTAAGACATCTCCAAGGGACTCAAGATGGAAAATGCTATCCACATCCAGAGAAAAAACTATGGAGTCTGAATGCAGATTGAAGTATATTATTTGCTCTCTCTCTCTTTTCTTTACAACAAAAGTATAGTAGACATTTATTAAGCTTTAATTTTCACAATATCGTATTTCAGTTGTGAAATCAGCCTACAAATATTTCACTACATTAACATCAATCTGGTGATCATTTAATAAAGGAATACATATATATATATATATATATCTTTGTAAAAATAAGTTTGATATATTCAGGATTCCCAACAATAATAGCAGTAGACCTGATTCCCCAAGGGTCACATGCCTTGAGTCTTACACACACATCACTAGCAACAAATCAGAAAACAAAACAAAACAAAAAAACACCCCACAACTTTTACAAATTTAAATACTATCTCTTTTTTTTGTTTGTTTTTTCTTTCTCATGGTTTCTCCCATTGGTTCTAATTCTTCTTTACAACATGACTAATGTGAAAATAAAACAAACAAAAAAACAGTGCCCAGAGCACAGTAGGTGCTTAATAGATGGTTACTGACTGGCTGACTAATTAGAAGTAGACTAAGTTACCTCCACATGTACTGGGTTCCTCCTTATTGGAGGTCTTCAAGTAAACTCTAGATGACCACTTATTGGTCAAGAGGTTAAGGGGATTTTTGTTCAGGTATTGGTTGGACTAGATGACCTTTGAAGAATTCTGGGATTCTGTGAAGTCCTCTTTGCCTTGGCTTAAGGAGTCAATCTTACACCAAGTTTAATGGTAAAAAATAAAATGCATCTCTCTGGCCATTTCAGTAAGGCTAAGAAGGAGAACTAAAAGCAGTAGTGCCAGAACATTTACCATTATAGAGCAACAAGGAAGTGGTCCTTTAGGTCCACAGGAGACTGGACAAAAATAACCAGTTTAGGTGATTCCAGGAGATTAGTACTGCTATGGGATCCTAGTCACTAAGGAACTACTCAGAGGTATTGGGACATAACTCCCCCTTTTAACCTACTGCTGCTGGGCCCAATAGCTGAAGGAGGAATGCCTCCCACTAACGAAGGTTCCCATAGGCCATGGGATCTGGCAGAAAGGAGCTAAAACTCCAAGCAGACTGCCCCTTCCTTCACCTGAGTACTTGTTGGATCTTCTTGCCTTATGGTTCCATCCAACCTGGGCTTATAGAGACTTGAGGGGTGAATGAGCGTCGTCTTCAAATTCCAAAGGATGACCCTATTGGAAAGGGATTAGACTGGTTCTGCTTGGTCTCAGAAAAGAGAACTATGACAAATGAGGGGAAGTTGCAGAGAAGTAGATTTCCGCTCCATGGAAGGGGGTGGGGTTGGGAATGGAAAGATGAAGTTAAAAATTAGACTAGGGAGCAGCTAGGTGGTGCAGTGGATAGAGCACCAGCCCTGGAGTCAGGAGGACCTGAGTTCAAATATGACCTCAGACACTTGACACTTACTAGTTGTGTTACCCTGGGCAAGTCACTTAACCCCATTGCCTACCCTCCCCCCAAAAAATTAATAGACTCTAGAATATTATTAATGATGATTTGCATCCATGAAGTACAATAAAAGCCATCAGGGGCCAGTACGGCCAGAAAAGGATGAGCATATTGTATTGCATATGTATTGCATCCAGGTCCTCAAGTGCAGCCCTTTGACCGAATCCAAACTTCACAGAACCAAATCCCCTTAATAAAAGAATTTGTTCTGTAAAACTTGGACCCAATCGAAAGGCCTAAGGACCTAGAGGGCTACGTGTGGCGTCGAGGCTGAAGGTTCCCCATGCCTGGAGTCAATAGCAAGAACAAGGGCTAACAAATAGCAAGTCAGAGTGCTGCACTGGTTCCCACAGAAGTTCAAAAAGCCTAAAGGCTGCAGCTCTTCCACAGATTTATGGGAAGACATGGATGAGAACAGCACAGGATAAGAAGGTGAGGCGTGGTTGGGACCTTCAATGGGGGAGGGAGTGCCCACATCAGTGAGATCATGGAGCCACTGAAATACTGAAATGTAAAGGAAAAAACTTCCTCACAAGTGAAACTGCCACAACGTGGGTCAGATTGCTTTAGGAACTAGTTCCCCATAGTATCTTCGAGAAAAGGGCATGTGACCTCCAGTCAGGTTGCAGAGGGGATTTCTGTTTAGATTCAAGTTGGACTAGAATCAATGCTGCTTTTTTTTTTCTTTTTGGTGAGGCAATAGGGGTTAAGTGACTTGCCCAGCTAGTAAGTGTCAAGTGTCTGAGGCCAGATTTGAACTCAAGTCCTCCTGACTCCAAGGCCAGAGCTCTATTCACTTTGCCACCAAGCTGCCCCTGAATGTGGGTCGAGACCCACAATTTAAGAAGCGCTGATTGGGTCGTGAGTAGAAAAAGTTTAAGAAGCCCTGAGGTCCCTTGGAGACTCCTTAACCCCTGCTCTGATCTCCTGAGTGAAGTCCTGGTGCCCAACTTTGGTGAGTGTTTACAGAACAATACAGGTGGTAGGGGCTTCAAAACAGCATCTTGTCCAGTCCTTTGCTTCCACACAGATGGATATCTAATCATATGAAAGAGCAGAGTCCAAAGGCCTCTCGAGCAGCTTGTCTGAGCATTTGGAAACCTTGATCATCCATCCTGCAGTTGTGTGTTAAATTGCATCTCATTCCGGTCCCCCAATCACTCTTTCCCCTTCTAGTCGCTAGACTGAGTTTGTAAGTAGCCAAGGTAAAGCAGCAACAACAGAAAATAAGATTGCAAAGAGAAGGAGCATAATTTACAAATTGTATCACCTATTAACCAAAAATCACATCCTGATACTGTGTGTTCAATCAGGGGAAGCCATCTAGGCTTTGCAGTCAGGGCCTTTTAGTTTTATGATACGTAAATCTCAGACAAGTTCCAGAAGACCAGCAGAACACCAAATGTCACTGATAACTTTGAGATGATATGGATATGTTAATGAACTAATCCCAAGGTGGCACAGATAATAGTCAGTTCCCCTAAAAACCCTGTAAAAATGAGACCCCAAACCCCTATCCTCCAGCCCTCTTCCATATCCATCTGCCTTTCCCGATTCCTCTTCCTCACACTGCCTGACTTCCTCCACCACCTTATCTCCGTGTCTCCACTGTCTGCCTCCATACCCCTTTCCATTGCTTACCTCTGTACTGTCTGTGCCTGTTTGCCCCTATACCCTCTGTGCCCTATTAAAGTGTGTTTGTAGCCTCACTTCCCACTGCCAGCATAGTCTCTCCTGGAGAGTACCCAAAGAACTGGGTGTGCCTGCCCCATTTCATCAAGTAGATCAATTCAAGATGCTAGGTTATGCAGTGAATACTGGGCTGGGACATTTATTTGCTGTGTGACCCTGAGGGTAAAGTCACTTAATCTTTGTCCATCTCAGTTTCTTCAACTGTAAAGTGGGGACGATAATAATAACACCTAACCTCCCAGGGTTGATATGAGGATCAAATGAGATATTTGTAAAGCACTTAGCACAGTGCCTGGCACATAGTGGGTGCTTTGATAAATGCCTGTTTCTTTCCCTCCTGCAATTTATGACCATTTGGGCCTCTGTGGGAATGGAGAAAAACTGGCTGACATCCTTCACACAATTCTCCACATACCAAGAATTTGTCATTCAGGGGGAAAAGTGACCCGATGAAAGGATAAAACTGAAAACTTTGAAGGACAACAGAAATGACCTAGAAAGAAGGATGCTAGGAAGAAGTACCAAGTAATTCTAAAGAGAATATAAACTACAATCAGGGTCAAGAGCCATACCTATATACCAAAGCGCAGAGTAAGGGTCATAAATAAAGGGAATTGATTGTTAGCAAAAGGTATGAAGAGATTAGGCACCTTGGCAAGTCAGTAGGGGTGCTGAAGCAAGTACCCAGACACCTCCTGGATCCTCCTTCAGTGTTCTTTCTACTAAATCACTACATCATGCTGATCAAAACACAAAGTGGATCTGGCCAGGTTTATCAAATATTTGAGAATCTTTTAGAATGGAGAAACACAAAACTTCAGGAACAAATGCAAGATAGCAAAAAATTAAAGCAAAAAATACTTGTGCCATGCTGCTCTTTTAGTAAGGCAATAAGAGTAGCATAACTGATTCTGTGCAGCAATCACAACATTAATTTCATGAGGTTTGTCTGGAACACATGAGAGTGTCTAGGCAGCAAGTGTTGGGGCATGAGGAGTGGGCAGAAGGGTACAGGCAGGGGTAGGTCATGCAAATGGCAGAGCACCCACATAGGACAGCACTACTGGTAGCAGATTTTCCCTAGTGAGTTACTAGGAGAAAAATCTTTTGAAGTCTCTAGGAAATGCCACTTGAAAAAGATCCCATAGAGAGTGGTGGTAGGGTTTGGGGTAAGGGATGTGGTTCCTGCCTTCAATCTCCCCGCTACCCAAGGCTGTGAGACATTCAAAGATCAAGGCCAACTACTTACCTGGAAGGCATTAGAGGGCCATATTCTTGGTACTCTTCTGTCTGGGCTAATGATCTCTTCAAGATAAGGGAGCACACTTCCTCAAGAAGCTCAGTCAGCTTTTTGGACTCTGAGTGCACGAGTAGAGACAAGGAAGCAAAAGAAAGGCGGTCCTCCTCCTTTATTGACTCCCAGCTTGCCTTTTGTGAGAAGTGACGAACTTCTCCTTGGTCACAGTGTAAAGCACCAGGGCTTTTTTGATGAATCACTTTTGACCTTCTAGCTTGAAATCCTGAAATGGGAATGGTTCAACCCAGAGTACCTATACATTCTACCAAGATGAGTAGAGATGCACACATGCAAAGAATTGGATTAGAATAGGATTGGCAATCCTACCCTTCCTATCTCTTTTTTTCTTTTTTCTTTTTTTGGTGAGGCAATCGGGGTTAAGTGACTTGCTCAGGGTCATACAGATAGTAAAGTGTCAAGTGTCTGAGGCCAGATTTGAACTTAGGTCCGTCCTCCTGACTCCAGGGTCAGTGCTCTATCCACTGTGCCACCTATCTGCCCCCCTACCCCTCCTGTCTCCTCCAAGAATTTGTCCCTTTAATCCTCCCCCAATCATCTCCAATTTGTATATCCACTGGCTCCTTCCCTACTGCCTACATAAACATGTCCAGATCTCCCCAATCTCAAAAACAAAACAAAACAAAATCTCAACCTTTTTACTAGATCCTGCTATCTCAAGTTATCATCCCATATCTCACCTCTCTTTCACTGTCAAATGCTTAGAAAAACCTTTTTAGGAGTTGGCTCTACTTCCCCACATCCTAGTCACTTCTCAACCTCTTATAATCTGGCTTTTGACTCCAATGCTTGACTGAAACTGTTCTAAAGTTACCAACAATCACTTAATTACTAAGTCCAAGGGCATCTTTTTTTTGTCCTTATCTTTCTGGGCACCTTGGTGGTATTAGACACCGTTTTGACCACTTCTTCCTCTTCTAGTAGACTCTCTCTTTCCTTGGTTTTCGTGACACCTCTCTCTCTCCTAGTTCTCCTTTTACCCATTTCATTACACTGCCTCACTCACCTTTACTGAACTGATGTAGGATCCATGTCTTGCTTGCTATCCATGGATTTACCAAAGTTCTGTCCTAGTTCCTCTACTCTTTCTAACTGGGTCTTCTCAGCTTTCATGGATTCAGTTACCATCATTATGCAGAGAACTGCAGATCTACATATCTAGCCCTAGTCTCTCCCTGAGTTCCAGTTGTGTATCTTCTACTATCTGCTGGACATCTCCACCTGGATGCCTCACAAGCAACTACAACTCAACAGACCCTAAAAACAGAACTCATGATCTTTCCCCTGAAACCCAGCCCTATTCCAAATTTCCTTATTTTTGTGAAAGGCACCACCACCCTTCGCATCCCCCAGGTTTTTTATCTCAAAGCCATTGTCAAATCTTCACTCTCCCTCACATTCCATATCCAATCAAGCGCCAGGTCATGTCAGTCCTACCTCCCCAACAACTATCACTGTTGAGGATACCATCATCTTCCCAGTGGTCTAGGTTCACAATCTAGGTGCCATCCTCAACTCCTCACTCTCACTCCTAATATCCAATCTATTGCTAAGACTTGGTGATTTTAACTTTGTGACATGTGTCACATATACCCCCTTTTCTTCTGTGACACTGCTACCACCTTGGTGCAGGCTCTCATCACCTCAGACTTACACTATTGCAACAGCCTGGTGGCTGGTCTCCCTGCCTCAAGTTTCTCCCCACTCCTGCTCGTGCTCCACTCAGCTGACAAAGTGATCTTCCTAAAGTACAGATGTGACCGTGACACCTCCCCCAGCTCAAACTCCAATGGCTTCCTCTCACCTCCAAGATAAAACACAAAACCTTCTGGCATTCAAAGCCCCTCATAACCTGCCCCCTACCCTTCCTAGACCTTACACCCCTGCCTTCCAGTGACATTGGGCTCTTTGCTGTTCCTCACACAAGAAACTGTCTTGAATCTAGGTATTTTCACTAGCTGACCTCCTGCCTGGAATGCTCTACTGCCCCACCTCCACCTCCTGGTTTCCCTCTTTCCTTCAAATCCCAGCTAAAATCCAACCTTCTATAGGAAGCCTTTCCTGATCCCCTTTAATTCCAGTGCCTTCTCTTTGTTGATTATGTCCAATTTATCTTGCATAGAGCTTGTTTGCACTGAGTTGTTTGTATGGTGTCTCCTCTGTTAGTTTGTGAGTTCTCTGAGAGCAAGGACTCTTTCTTTGTTTTCCCAGTGCTCAGCACAATGCTAGGCATATAGTGGGCACTTAATAAAGAAATGTTTACTATGTTACTCTACTACTCAATCACATTCAGTAGCTACCTACTCTTCTCTAGAATAAAACAAAACAAAACAAAACTCCTTGGCTTAGCGTTTAGGGCCCTCTATAATCTGGCTCCAAGCTCCCTTTCTAGCAGTTTTTCACACTGCCCCACATACCAGACAATGTGGACAATTAGTAGGTTCCCTGATCCTGACATGGCAACTGCCACCTCTGTGCATCTGCACAAGCTTTCCCCTGTGCCTGGAACACATGTCTTCCTCATCTCCCCCTACCTCAATCTTTATTTTCCTTTAAGGTTCACTCAGGTGGCATCTCCTTGGTGAAGCCTCTACTAAGAACCCTACCCCACTGAGCCCCTCTAGTTCTTAGTGCTCTGTCCTTCCTCAAATGAGCATTCCAATTCTTTGCATATGTGCACCTCCACCCATTCTGGTAGAATGTATGCTCCTTAAAGCTAGGAACTATTTCATTTTTGACTTTGTACTTCTAGTATACAGCACAGTTCCTGGCACATATATAGATATGTAGAAGGATCTTTGGTTTTCTCAAGATGGGGAACTTTCAGTGTGGGAACTCCTTCTACCAAGGCAGCTTGCAACCCTTTCACATTTGAGTAGATAAGTCCTAGGGAGTTGCCTGCTACATAGCTAGGTTACCTGACTTGGCCAAGGTCACATAGCTAATAAGAGTCAGAGGCAGGACTGGAACTCAGTCCTTACTTTCTTTGAGTCCAGCACCCCCTTCACAATGCCATGCTTCCTTGCACACTGGAAATACTCAATGTTTGTATATGAGAATTCAAGAACACAGAGAGTATTAAAAGTTCATCAGCTTATTCACTGAGTTGAAATCCCAAAGGACACTCAGGTAACTGGACTCTTACCACCAGTAATGGGGTATGTGGAAATACAGGTAGGGCAGCATGAAGTTACTAGTTGTGTGACCCTGGGAAAGGCACTTCTCTCTGAATCACCATTTTCTCATGGGTAAAATGTTGATAATAACAATACTTGCACTCTCTACTTCAAAGGATTGTTGTGGAAAAAAATTTTCTTTTAACTTAGAGAGAAATACTACATGTTGTGCAATTTACCTTTAAATGAAGACCAAAAGAAATCTTAAACACCATCTTACAGAGCAACATCTGCCTTTCTAGCTGTCCAGAATAGCAGTATTTCACTAATGCCTGTAAATGTAACCACAACCCCAAGAGTGACCTCTAGCTTTTAGGGAATAGGGTCCTCCCAATGTTATGTGTATTTGAGTCATTAACAGCTCCTGGTGATGGCGAGAACATTCCACAAAAGACGCACTGAATGATATATCTTGACAACACTGTAATTACAAAGTTGAAGGCACATCCTTGGCAGAAATGTGTTCAATTACATGCATATGGAAAAAAATAGACTAAAGAGAGCAAATGAGCTACAGAACAGTATGAGAGACTGGCATTGCACAACATTGTTCAATGTACGATCAGAGAGTAAACAAATCATGAACATTTGTCACCTACAATGACAAAACACAGTAAAATAAATATTAAGAAAAATAATCAATCTAATACAAGCTATTAAACTCCAAGTAATTAAAATGATTTCCCATGACAATTTAAAACCCTTTGATTGCAAGCTGTTTCATCACAAAATGTGTACAGAAAAAAGTTTGCACATGTATCCTACTTGAAACATTTCATCTAGTGCTACTTCAGCCATTCTGTACACGCGAACTGGAGACCTGTGTAAAATAAAATCATTTGTTCACAAAGCAGCATGTTTAACTTTCTAAGAGGTCGACACTAAATCACAACACACACATAGTTTGGGAGGTGAGGAAGACAGTCTTCTTTTCACAATTAGACAGCCACGCTCCCTTGGTCTGTTCTACAACACTAAATGCATTAGCTAGATTGTAGGCTTCTACATTCAAAAGGCATCTCCAGACATTTAAGACTAGAAGCACTCCATATTTCAGTCTAAATGAGTACTGGGTACCAAAGGGCACTTGTTATCCTCAGACTCTAAATGCATGGTCTGATGAATAAATGCAAGAAACAGAACAAACAATGAACTTCAAATATCAGAAACAAATATAAATCCATTTGAATTTTGAATATAAAAAATATATTTGTTCTTATAACTCTTGTCACAAGCTGTAAGCAATATTTTTGTTCCCCTCCACAACCCAATCTGAAGCCAACGGATCCTTGACTTGCAGAAGAGACATACGGGAGAGAACCAAAATGTGGCTGTAGATGTAAAGCAAAACTCATTCCTGAACAAAAAGTTTTCTGTTCCCACAGCAAAGCTATGATTCTGAAATTATGACAGTCACTCTTTCCCAGGGCAACAAACATGGCCGCCAACCCAGAGTGTGGCCATTGGCTCCAAAAGACAATTTCACAGACAAAGATAGCACTGGAAATACTAACTGGCTATGACCAAATCTCTTCAGGAAAGAGATTGCTTCCTTTGAAAAAAATTGATTTTGGAGTGTACAAGAAAAAATATTTTGTATTTGCCACCTTTGCTGCTTCTCCCTAGAAGCAATCTCTGGAAATGGCACAAAAAGCTACTGAAACTAGGTCAAGAAACCTTACAACTAAACCTGGATATATGGAAGATGGTATCAAGAGGAGGCTAGAATAAGAGTCGAGACACACAAGCTCATTCATCTTTCCCTAAAATGAGTTTGCCCCTCTAGGCCAACAGCACCTTCATTGAAAGTTTCAGCTCTGTCTGTCTCTTGATCATAAGATACAAATTAGAGTTCCTCTAAATCCAGAAAGATACCATTAAAGGACATACGAAAGGTCTTATTTTGTGTAGGGAAGGAGAGAAGGAGTGATAATGAATGAATGATGTTTCCCCTTCAGGCTGCTTTTAGATCCAATTCCACAAGGTTGCCTTAGCTATATAATCTTCCTCAAGCTGAGACATTTAAATAATTGGATCAAAAAACTGAGCACTTGTTTATGAATTCTTCTCATGTGTAGTCTCTACAAAAACAACACCCTGCAAATAACAAAGACACATATGTAGTTATACCACTGGAAACCTCCGACCCACTTCCTTATCCCCAGTCATGGAATGGGGGAAATTCTAAGCCCATATGGCAGAGGGAACAAGCGTTTAAATGTACCAACTACATTAAACTATTAAGTATAAGCATCTCAAACTAGAGGGAAACAGCATGTAGTTTGTTAATAAGTATAACTCTAGGTAAAGACTAACTTCTACATTTTAATTCATAGAAAAAAGATTTTTTAAAATAAAAGCAATTTTACATTATTGACATTCATTTAAAATAACTTGGAAAGGTTACCTAAACCACTAAAATATATTTGGTATATATATATATATATATATATATATGGTAGTGTTAATCTGTGGGAAAATTCAGTGAAGATAATGCTAAAACAGATGCTGGTAATAGCGATTTTACTGCGAGTGGCTTCTTGGAGCTGATCTCTGAGGTTCACTCCGTGAATCACATGTGTACAGGGCAGGGTTAAAAGTGAAGTCAGAACTGACTGATATCTTTGGAAAAACAGAAATTTGGGAGTGTGGTGAGACAAAGAAACTTTCAATGGCCTTTCAGTTCCTTTGCCCCAGAGGGCTAGGAAGCAAGAACAAGAGGGAACTAGTATAAAAAAAAAAAAAAAAAAAAAAAAAAAGGCTGTCAGTTCTGTTAACCCTTCCCCACTCGACCTGACCCAGCCAAGCCAGTGCAGCTCACTGGAGAATGAGAAATGTTCTGCCTCCCCAAAAGCTGGGTACTAACAGCTCAGAAGGTAAAGATTCCTGGAGGAAAATATGCAAATAAGGCACAGCTAGTATCATATGACGGGCTTCAACTGCTTCCCTTTCTCTCTCCTGCCCAATTGCCCAGGCCCTGTGCAGAGTCACAGTTCACGCCATGGCAGGGAGGCAGGTTATGCAACCAAGAAAGCAGCTCTCGGCCATCACCCCTTCAGTGCCCATCTCCTGAAAGATGTATTCTTCCTAAGCTATTTGTTGGGGTTTTTTGGGAAGGGGGGGGCTCATCAAATCCCCAAACCATCTGACCAGTCAGTTAACAAAAATAATTTAGAGGCTTATGCAAGTCTCTATTGCTGCTCTACCTTCTCAGGTTTAAAAAAAAAATACTGAAGATCATTGAAACCAGACACAAATAGCTTCAAAGTTGATATGTTGAAAAAGATATTTTTCTCACAAGGCAAACACCAATTCCCCTCCCCCCCACAAATGTCTCAGAACACAACACCAACCCCAAATCCTCGCAACATGATTTTTGACAACACTAAGATTACTTCCTAAACCTCAGCTCCATCAGTGCACGGTGAGGTCTGGCCAGCGGCAGTAGCTGGGCTTTTTCACAAAGAGGTGTCATCGTCATCCCGGAAATCTCCAACCAGGAGTGAGTGCTTGTCTGGCTCGCTCAGAACAATGCTGTTCAGGGAACGCTTATCTGAGAGCAGGGAGTTAATGGATGCTCTGCTGTAATTGACTATCTGGTCCAGCAAACCTAGTTTGGGAGAGTCTCTGGAGGTATCATCAAGGCCGATGTGAACGCTAACTTCTGAAGGACTCTTCCGGCCTACCTGGTAGTGAGGCCGCAGGTCACGCTTCTCATAAATAGGTTTCTTATAACTAGAAACACAGAAAAGCACAATTTAGTTTAAAATACTGGAATAAATGAATATGTATGGGAGAAATGTTGCAGCTGAGCTACATACAGACTTACATAGTAATAAAAAGTGTGTACTGTACATAATCATAGATATCTTCAGATGGTTCATTTTTCACCTTAGAAGAACAGTTCAGAACTTGTTTCTCTATGCTTCTATTAAAATGGCAGGGATAGGAAGGGCAAAGCTGTTACCACACACTGCAGTTCACTGACACATTCCACCTGATGAGTACCTGGGGCCAAATATCTGTTACACCTGGGCAGATGTGGTTAGAAGATTCAGTAGCTGCAACTCTCCAGAGAGGATACAGCCAGGCAGTCCTCTCCAGGTGCCTGCTTTATCAAACTATATTGTTCTCACCTCACTTTGCACCAGGCATTTCCGTTCTGAATCCTCAGCATCTGGGACCCCCAATTTGCCCCTTTCAGACTGCCAAGGGAGTCCCTCTACTCAATTGATGTGGAGCTAAAAGGCCACAGCTTTTTTTTTTTTTCCAAATTCCTTATTTTGGGCCAAGTGAGCATGATAGATAGATGTTGTAAACAAGACAAAAAAGAAATTGAGATGCACTTTCCCAGGAAGGAAAGTCTCTTGGGAGTCACTGCAAGGGAGGTAGCCCAGAAATATTCAGGTTTGAAAGCTGATCATGTGAAGCTTGTCACGATGACAACGGAAAATTCTACTTCCTGAGAAGGAAATGGTTGCCCTCTGCCTCAGTGCTAGTGGTTGTTATATACTAGCTGCCTGTGGGGATAGTTATAGGCTCCCTTCTAATACTAACAAAAGTTCGGACTCTTACAGTCTCAATTTCAAAACCTATCAAGACAGCCTAGTGATTCTGGGTTTAGGGCAGAGGTTCACAAACTTGTTAATAACTGTTTTTCAATGTAACTTATTTCCTTTGTAATCTTGTGTATTGTATTATATTAATTTGAAAATATTACTCTGAGAAGAGGCCCATAGGCTTCACCAGACTTCCAGAAGGGTCTATGACACACAAAATGGTTTAGGGAGAACATGTCTGGCCATGCTGCCTTACTTACAGTTTAAGCAACAATGAAGAAAGCACCACTGAAACTGATGAGGCAGCCATGGCAGCTGATCCCATCCAGGGCTGCAAAACCAAACCAATGGGCATAAAGACACCTGGAAAACAAACAGGGCCTTGGGTCAGGGCACTGGGTCTACAGCCAAAACAAACCAAAGGGCATAAAGACACCTGGAAAACAAACAGGGCCTTGGGTCAGGGCACTGGGTCTACGGTATTGCTTGGAGCTGCCAAGATGTCTCCAACAAGCATAGTGACTTGCCTCTCTCTCCACAGAGTATTCCCTTGCTGGCTGTCCCTCAGCATTCTGTATGGGACTACATTATTCTCAGCTTGTCCTAGTTGCCTCTCCTATATTTGTCTTGCTTCCCCAAGAGAATAAGCTCCTTGAGACCAAGCCTTCTACTTTTTTCTGCATCCCCCACAGAGCCTAGTACAATGCTCTACATATAGTAGGTAGTACAGTAAATAGTTGTTGATGGAAACAGTACATTTTAAAGGAAACACTATAGAGGACAACTTAACGATTTCCAAAATGTTCAACCAAATGAGTTAAATTCTCCTAAACTGTAGCACCAAGGAAGGGGAGAAATGATACAAGCAATCACCTCCCAATACCTGATAATTATTAGGATTTAGGGTCATATCCTGGTCTCACACTGGGGAGAGGGGGGATATTCTCTGGCATTCCATCATTAATTTGGGACTCCTTTCTGTTGATTGTGGCCATTTTGACTGGGACTAGCAGAACTCCTTGGGCTAACATTCCAAGTGTTCTAGCAGCCCCCACCTTGGGATGTTGTCAACCTCACATCTTGTTATTACAAGTGTGCTTAGCTAAACTAATCTGTCACAAATGTGCTAGTTTTGACATCCATGACTGTCCTCATGCCATTCCCCTCTCTCCAGTCCAAGCCCCTCAATCAATTACCAAGTATTTATTGAGTGTCTCCCTTGTGCTCAACACTTGGGGTGGGGGAGGGAGGTGGTATAAGAGAAATGCGAAGGCAGTCTCTGATCTCAGGAAACATTTATTAAACGCCTACTATGTACCACACACTATGCCAGGCTCTCAAAGAGCTTACAATCAAGCAAGGAGACAAGAGAAACAAATTCTTCATCTCTCTCAAGCCCTGAAGCAAAACTCACCTTCTAACCAGGAAGCTCTTCTCTTCCCTAATTAATCCCATTTAGCTTAGAGCAGTCATTTATTCTACATCCCCTAAGTATTTCTGGTTTTAGTACTTGTTGGATAAACTGGTCTGTAATTGATTTCTTGTACTTGTTTATTTCCATATTGTATTTCTGAATAGAGACTGTGAGGCCACAGACAATGTATATGATCTACCTACCTCCCTAATAAAGGACCCTGCACACAGTGGGCATTCAAATTTTTGTTAATAAGTTCTATATCACTACCCTGGGGCTTACTTCTTCTTGTGTCTTGTAGCTAGCTGGTTGCCCTTTTGAAGCAATTTGCCTAAAGGAAAGGAGACCCAAATGCTCTTCATTTCTAAAATGGCAAAGCAGCTGAGTGATTTGCTGGAAATTATTGGTTTTATTGAATAACCTTCTAACACACCAGAAAGTCACACCCAATAACCATATCCTGAAAACTATTCTAGAAATCCAAACTCCATCCCTTGCAGAAAATTGGAATGACTTCTGAGGAAGAAAAACAATAGTTGTTAAGTGTTTCATACCAGCAGCTATAGGGATTCCAAGCAGATTATAAATCAGAGCAAAGACAAAATTTATTCGAATTCTTTTGACGGTCTTCCTTGATAAGTCGATACTTGCTACCACATCCAGAAGATCATTCTGAAAATAGAAGCATTTGGAACATAAAGATGAGAATCTAGCTTCACTTATAACTGCAGAGTTTGGTTTCCATACATATGGAAAATGATGACTTCCTCATGATAGGGTCATTCATTACAAATCTGACAGCCAGCTTTGGAAATACAAACTGGTTTTCAGAAAGTTTTCCTGAGGCTGTGGAAATTTCCTTAGATCTGTACCTCATTATATAGGCCAAATTCCATTACAACAAGCTTCAGATAATTTTTTTTTGGAATAGTGGAATTTTATTAGAAGTAAACCTTTGCAATTTGTAGGATATGAAGATGAAACAAGATGTTAAATCATTTCCCCAAAAAAATGGGCAAAAGGAGGTTAAAGACAGAAAGAAAGATTTCATTTCACCAAAATATTAGTGGCAAGTTTTTTGTGGCAGCAAAAAAACAAACAAACCCAGAAATAAAGTGGGTACTTATCAAATGGGGACTGTACTATATGAGTGTAATGAAATATTTTGCTAGAAGAAACAATGAATATGAGGCACTCAGAGCAACATGGTAAGACATGAATGCACTGGTACAGATCAAAGTAAGCAGAATCAGGAGAATAACATACACAATGACTGCAATAACAGACAAAAAAAGAACACTAAAAGAGAGTTGGACTCTGATGAATTGTAGTCAACAATCTTGGTCTTGCAACATACAACTTCCTCTTCTCAGCAGAAAGCTGGGAGACTACACATAGGGAATGTGGTATACATTGTCAGGTAGTCAGCTGATAAACATTTATTAAGAACCTACTATGTGCCAGACACTGTGCTAGGTACTGGGGATACAAAAAAGGCAAAGGATGGTCCCCGCTCTCAAGAGCTCCCAGTCTAAAGGGAGAGACACCATGCAAGCAAGTACTGTCAAAATATACATACAAATATGATAAATTGGAGATAATCGATAGAGAGAAGGGACTAGCATTAAGAGGGATTGGTAAAGAGTTCTCCCAGCAGGTGGGATTTTAGTTGGGACTGGAAGGAAACCGGGAGGCAGAGATGGGGAGGGGGAGTGTTTCAGGAATGAGAGACAGCCACTGAAAACCCCAGAGCTGGGAGATTGAACAGTGAGAAGGCAAGTTTGATTGGATTGCAGTATACGGAAGAGAGTAAGGTTTAAGAATGCTGGAAAGGTAGAAGGAGGCCAGGTTGTGAGGAGCTTTGAATGCCGAACAGAGAATTTTATACTTGATACTGGAGGTGACACAGAGCTACTGCAGCTTATTGAATATGAACGTGACGTGGTCAGATCTACACTTGAGGAAGATTAATTTAATAACGAAATAGAGGACACTGTCACATCTGGTTGTTGGGTCTACCAATTTTGCTTAAATGTTTTTCTTTGTTCCAAAAGAGGGTTCAATAGGGTGGGGAAACAACTGTGGTATGAAAACAAAAGGCATCAACAAAATTTTTTTAAAATGTATTTAAAGGAGAGCTGGGCAAGTGACAAGAAATCTTCCTTGTCCATCACATTTCCCCTACGTATCTATCACCCAATATTCTCTACTGAAGTTCATGTGGACAATAAACAGGAACAAATGTTGGACTGTGGGTGTGTCATAAACCCAAACATAAAAGCTTCCTGGACTCTTGAGATGTATGGAGGAAGGAGAAAGGTGCTTTATCTCCTACTTCATTTACCTTTTTCATTTAAATCAGAGAAAGGTTGAATAACTAGCAAGCACCTCCCAAAGCCCTGACCCTGAATTGTCAGCATTTCAGTGCTGGGCAGCACAAAAGTATGACAATGACATAACAACAACATCTGACATTCATAAAGCGCTTTAAGGTCTGCAAAGCGCTTTACATATGCTATCTCATTTAAGAAAATCGCTGGGAGGTAGGCGCTATTTTTATCCCTATTTTAAAGGTGAGGAAACTGAGAGGTTCTGTGATTGCCTTAGGGTTGCATAACTAACTCAGTGTCTGTGATGAGATCCAAATGCAGGCCCTCTTGACCCCAAGCCCAGCACAGGATCCACTACATGAGCTGTTTCAACAGGGAAGTAGGCGGATTTCTCAACATCGTTGGTGAGATTGCTACCGATTCGATGAGTTAAGTTTCCAAAAAGGTCCAGCCACATGACTTACCCTTATTAAAACCACATCTGCAGCTTCAATGGCTACATCTGTGCCAGTGCCAATAGCAATTCCAACATTAGCCATTGCCAGGGCTGGGGAGTCATTGATCCCATCGCCCACCATGGCTACAGGCTTCCCCTCCTCTTGCAGCTGCTTCACCTTAGCAACTTTGTGAGAAGGAAGGACTTCAGCAAAAACTTTTTTAATGCCCACCTAGGGAAAGAAAAAAAAAACCAATTCAATTCAAGAAATGCTTCTTTAATTCAATCAACATGATGTTACGCACTTTAGGAGGTAGCAAAAAGTCGGAAGACAAGAAGCTTACGGAAACTAGTTCCAGATTTAAGACTAACTCAAAATAGAGAAGACAAAATAAGTGGTTCAGACAATGCCCTCCGAGGTTTAGAAAAAGGAGAGATTTGTGTGAGCTAGAGTGTTTATGGGGAGTTTCACAGAGGAAGAGGGGCTTGAGAAAGGCACAGAAGGGGGAAGGGAGAAGAATTTGAAGAGGTGAAAAACAAAAAAAGAGAAGCTATTCCTGAGTATAGGAAAAGAGCCCCAGAAAAGCCCTGGAGGTAGAAAGGATTGCAGTACATTATGGAAAACACTTAGGATAAGAGGGTCTTATTTCATCATCACAAAATCTTTGGGAGGTAGGCAATATTTTTATACTCATTTTTGTTCTTAGTCATTTTTTAGTCAAGTCCGACTCTCCATAACCCCATACAGGGTTTTCTTGGCAAAGATACTGAAGTGGTTTGTCATTTCCTTCTCCAGCTCTTTTCACTAATGAGAAACTGAGGCAAACAGGGTTAAATGACTTGCCCAAGGTCACACAGCTAGTAAGTGTCTGAGGCCAAATCTGAACTCAGGAAGGTGCATCTTCCTGATTCCAGGCCCTGCACTCTATCTACTGTGCTGCCCAGCTACCCTATTTTATTTTATTATTTTTAAAGAAAATTTATTAATATTTTCTTTTTTTTTCCAATTTAACATTTTTTAAAGTTTGAGTTCCAAATTCTCTCTCTCCTTCTCCTCCCCCCTCATTGAGAAGGCAAGCAATTTGATAAAGGTAATCATGCAAAACAAATTTCCACATTAGTCATGTAAAAGAAAACAGACAAAAAAAAAAACAAGAAAAATAAAGAAAGTTAAAAAAGCATGCTTTGATCTGCATTCAGACTCCATCAGTTCTTTCTCCAGAGGTAGACAGCATTTTTCATCATAAGTTCTTCAGAATTGTCTTGGATCATTTGTATTGCTAAAAACAGCTGAGTCATTTACAGTTGATCGTTGTACAATGTTGCTGTTACTGTGTACACTGTTCTTCTGGTTCTGTTCACTTCACTCTACATCAGTTCATGTAAGTCTTTCCAGGTTTTTCTGAAAGCCCACTGATTTTCATTCCTTACAGCACAATAGTCTTCCATCACAATCATATACTAAAACTTGTTCAGCCATTCTCCAGTTGATGGGCATCCCCTCGATTTCTAATTCTTTGCTAACACAAAAAGACCTACTAGAACTATTTTTGTATTTATATGTCCTTTTCTATTTTCTTTTTTTTTTTTAAATCTCTTTGGGATAGAGACCTAGTAGTGGTATTGCTGGGTCAAAGGGTATACATGGTTTTATAGCCCTTTGAGAATAGTTCCAAATTGCTCTCCAGAATGGTTGGATCAGTTCACAACTTCACCAACAGTACATTAGTGGCTCAATTTTCCTCACATTCTCTCCAGCATTTATCATTTTCCTTTTCTGTCATGAGCCAATTTGATAGGTGTTTTAATGTACACTGCTCTAGTCAATAATGATTTAGAGCATTTTTTCATGTGACTATAGATAGCTTTGATTTCTTTTTTTTTTTTTTTTGGGTGAGGCAGTTGGGGTTAAGTGACTTGCCCAGAGTCACACAGCTAGTGAGTGTTATTTGTCTGAGGCCGAATTCGAACTCAGGTCCTCCTGACTCCAGGGCCAGTGCTCTATCCACTTTGTCACCTAGCTGCCCCTCTTTGATTGTTTCTTGATGTCTCATGGAGTCATTAGCCTTGACTTGACCAATTTTAATTTTTGAGGAATTATTTTCCTCAGTGACCTTTTGTACCACCTTTTCCATTTGGTCAATTCTACTTTTTAAGGAGTTCTTTTCTTTAGTGAATTTTTGTACATTTTCTTTTCCATTTGGCCAATTCTGCTTTAAGGAGTTTTTCTCTTTGGTAGATTTTTGTGCCTCTTTTACCATTTGGTCTTTTTGGTTTTTTAAGGTGTTATTTTCTTCAGTATTTTTTTTTGTGCCTACTTTACCAATCTGTTGACTCTTTCTTCATGATTTTCTTGCATCATTATCATTTCTTTTCTCCATTTTTCCTCTACCTCTTATTTGATTTTTAAAATCCTGTTTGAGCTCTTCTATGAATTCTTGGAGGGGGGGGAGCTGAGACCAATTCAGTTTTCTTTGAGGTTTTACATGTAGCTGTTTTGACTTTGTCTTTTTCTGAGTTTGTGTTTTGACTTTCTCTGTCACTATAGTAACTTTCTATGGTCATTTTCTTTTTTCGTTGTTGTTTGCTCATTTTTCAAGTCTATCTCTTGACTTAACTTTATATGTTAAAGTTGGGCTCTGCTTCTAGGGTGGAGAAGGCACTGTCCCAAGCTTCAGGTTTTTTGTGCTACTGTTTTCAGAGCTAGTTCTAGAGGTCAGTAAGCTCTCAGTTCTTCCAAGATGGCATGATCTTAGCAGAGGTGAGGTTAATGTTATTTTACCCTGCTGCTCTGGTCTATGAGTGAACACAAGCACTCTTTTCCACCCTGGTACTATGACCAGGGTACCCACTCCCCTGCAGCTGCATGCTCTAGTGTGCTAGTGTTCTTCCTCACCCTGAGACTGTCACCTAGAATCACATATGAGTAATGCAACAGACTCCTGTACCCAATACCAGCAAAGGGTCCCCTGGAGTCTCCTGACCAGTTGTCCAACTTCCTTACCATCTGTGGGCTGAGAGCTCTGGAAGCTGCTGCTGCTGATTCAGTTGCCCCCAAGGCCTGCTTCTAGCTTGCCTTGGTGAAGCCTGCACTGGACTGTACTTCATTCTCACCCCAGTGAGACAGACCTTTCCTGCTGACCTTCTAAATTGTCTTGGGCTGGAAGATTGTTTCACTCCATCCTTTTGTTGGTCCTGCTGCCCCAGAATTCATTTTGACATGTTATTTTAAAGTTATTTGGAGGGGAATCTGGGAATTCTCAGGGGAGTCCCTGACTTTACTCTGCTGTCTTACTCCACCCCCTTAGCTGCTCCATTTTAAAAATAAGGAAACTGAGGCTCAGAGAGGTTCCGTAACTTCCTCTCATTTCTCTAAGGACTTCAAGGTTTACAAAGCACTGAGCCGACAAAACCCTATATAATTAGTCCTATTTTGAAAAGGCCCCAATCAGTTAAGTGACTTGCCCTCAGCCATCCAAGTAAGTGTCAGAGCCAGGACCCCGGGTCTCCTGATTCCAAGTCCTCTAGTGCTCTATCAGTAATACAATACTTCTGTGGCTACTCATCTGGAAGATGATTATTTGGAAGACTTTGACAAAATGGCCAGTGAGTTTGGACTTAGTCTTGTAGAGAATGATGCGTCACAGAAGGCTTTCTGAGTGACAATCAAGGTACTGTTTTAAGAAGATTAATCTGGCAATGATATACAGGAAGAATTAGAGGCTGGAAATCAAAGAAGCTATTAGAGTAAACTGGGCATGAGGCACTGAGAGCCTGGATTAAGGTGGCAACAGTGGGAATAAAAAGGAAGGGGCAGAAGGGAAGTAAGAATTGATAGGGTTTGGTCACTGAGGGGTAGGTATTATGTGTATCACAAACATCCTGTGCTATAGAACTTAGCAGAAAGCTTTTTTCCTCTCATACCAAACACTTAAACCTCCAAGAACTGCCATCAAGGTCTAAACCAATGTTGTTCTAAGAGTTGTTCCCCAACTGCTTTAGGTACTACCCTATTCTGCAGATCTCTCTCTCTTCAGCTAGGGAGAATGCTAGAAGCAGCTAATGCTGCTTGGTAGCTGTGGGATTAATAGCAAGTAGAGAGTGAAAAAGAGGGAGATACAGCTGAAGATCCACCTTCCCCTTCCCCTTCCCTTCCCTTAACCTAAGTCACCTGAAACTCACCTGGGAGGCAATAGACCTGGCAGTTTTACTGTTGTCTCCAGTCATCAAAACGACTTCTAAGCCCATAGATTTCAGTGTGTGGACAGCCAGCTCTGCTTCAGGCTTCACTGTGTCAGCGATGGCTATCAGCCCACACAACACACCTAATACAGTGGCCACGGACAAAATATACTTGACTGAGAGCATAACCAACACAAAGCAACATTCTGACTACTGTCTACAAACCCAAAGAAAGCAATGAATTCTAACCAACTGATGCCCCTCTTGATTAGGGAGGGCATAACGAGTCAAATGACTCTGAGCCTCATACTCAAGTCTATAATGCAAAGCTAACAACAAAAGTCCATTTTTCTTTATGAAAATGTTGCCAAGAATGAAGGCAGGGGTTAGTGAAGAGGGCAGGAAAAAGGGAATGAGGAAGGAGACAGGGATGGACAATAAAAGAGCCTCTCCTTTCCTTCAAACAGGCATTTGCTAATAGCCCTAAACATATCAGTTAATTTAAAGATCCACATAAAGGACATTTCACATTAGGAGCAGATTACTGCAACTGTGCAGATTAATTGCTTAGGGGTCCATTTTAAATTAGAAGATGAAGTGGTATAATGCAGTTTCATCCCAGACATAACATGATTATAATAAAATATTGCCTTCCATTTCACTCTGAATGGACAGGATAAATCTAAATATGGGGATATTTAATTTCTGTTCCATTAGACATTACCACACAAAGAGGTACAGAATGGTCCAGTCAAAAGCAAATGCAAGAGAATTCAATTATGTGAAATGTATTACCTTTAATCAGAACAACTGAATTATCACTAAATTGAAGCATCTTATTTCTTTGCATTCAAATGTCAGCTGGTACACAGTTACTGCTGAACACTTGTCTGAGGAAGAATTCAGAAGTTCTTAAGAATATATAGAGAGCAACATAATTAACTACTAAACTATTCCTAGTATTTCTGCATCTGAACACCAAGTTTTAGAGCAAAGCTGCAGAAAATTTTTACCATCAATGGCCACCAGCACAGCTGTCCGACCTTTCCTCTCATGCTCAATCATCGCACTATCCACGTCGTTCTTAATGACAAGACCATTTCTGTTCATCCATTCACGGTTCCCAATGAGAACTGTGTACTTTTGAGGATTTGAAGCAGCTGAAGGAAGAAAGCAAATTATTTTTATCTAATTTTGTGTTATTATTGCTTGGTGTTCTGCCTCCTTTTTTTTTTTTTGCTTTAAGAAAAAGCAAATATGGAATAAAAAATGGATATATTTTGGGATCATAAGTATTATAAATATAATTCATAAGTAAACACATTTAATATGTATGCAAATGAGTCAGAGTACTTAAGAGAATTATTGGTGTGTCTATGCAATATATCAAATAATTCAGGTCCAGCGTATGGCTAAGACATACTTAGAATTAATTATGTGGCAGTGTATTGGTAATTTGGGAGAAATAAGCTACGTTTAAATTGATCTGTGTTTCTAATCTTAAAATTTCAAGGTTGCAAAGTCTGCTACCTGCTCTCAAATGGTACTAAAAAAAATGACAAGTAACTTACTGGGCATCTGGGCGTCAATAATCAAGGAAGAATGACCTGGTTGTCCATCATTTGCATCAAGTTCCATCAAGGATGCATTTTTAAGATTATTTTCCTCGACTTGCCAGTCACTTTTATGAAGCAGGGCTTCAACGTTGGTTACTTTACAGCTAATGCCACAGCCTGGGACAACTTGGAAATCTGTGCAGGTACCCAAGGTTTCAGTGTTCAGCTCCTAACCAAAATAAAACAAAAACCAGAAGGATGTTGTTTTCTCTTCTAAATGTCACAAGGTCCTCATTTAGTCAGAGCCAATGTAAATACTACAGTTTAACCTGTATTTAATTATGAATTATCAGACACATACTGCAAAATATTGAGCTCCTGATGGGACATAAAGTTTTGTTTAAGAATGCAGGAACTAAGAGTTAAGTCTCTCATCCAAGGTCATATGAGTCGTCAATGGAAAAGATGAGAGCAGACCTCAGAATTTTTTCTTCTCAATGTCATTCCCTAATTACTACACAAAGAATGCATGTTGATTAGATCATTTCCTACTTGCTCAAGTAGAGCACCACAAGTTAAATCCTTAATTATTTCAGGTTCCTTTTTCAGTGAAGGTCAGAGGGGAAGCAACAACAAGGCCTTCATTTATTTATGTCTCCTGCTAAGTTCCTTAAGAGTAGGGATTTTTTCATTTTTTGTCTTTGTGTTCCCAGTATCTAGAACACAGTGCCTGGCACACAACAGGTGCTTAATAAGTGTTTCCTTTTTTTTAAATAAATTATTTATTTTTAGTTTTTAACATTCACTTCCATAAGATTTTGAGTTTTAAATTTTTTCCCCTGCCTTCGCCTCCCCCACTCCCCAAGATGGCATGCAATCTGATACAGGCTTTACATATACATTCATATTAAAACAATTTTCACATTAATCATGTTGTAAAGAAGAATTAGAACCAATGATAAGAACCACAAAAAAGAAGAAACAAAACAAAACAAAAAAAAAAAAAGAGAGAGCAAATAGTATGCTTCGATCTGCATTCAGACTCCATAGTTCTTTCTCTGGATGTGGACAGTATTTTCCATCATGAGTCTTTTGGAGTTGTCTTAGATCCTTGTATTGCTGAGAAGAGCTAAGTCTATCAATATTAGTCATCACACAATGTGGCTGTTACTGTGTACAATGTTCTCCTGGTTCTGCTCACTTCACTCTGCATCAGTTCATTCAAGTCTTTCCAGGTTTTTCTGAAATCTGCCTGCTCATCATTTCTTATAGTACAATAATATTTCATTACATTCATATACCACAACTTGTTCAGCCATTCTCCAACTAATGGGCATTCCCTCAATTTCAAATTCTTGACCACCACAAAAAGAGCTACTTGAAATATTTTTGTACATGTAGGTCCTTTTCCCATTTTTTTTTTTGCAAAGCAATAGGGGTCAAGTGACTTGCCCAGGGTCACACAGCCAGTGAGTATTATGTGTCTGAGGCCGGATTTGAACTCAGGTCCTCCTGACTCTATCCACTGAGCCACCTAGCTGCTCCTCCTTTTCCCATTTTTATGATCTCTTTGGGATACAGACCTAGAAGTGGTATTGCTGGATCAAAGGGTATGCACAGTTTTATAGCCCTTTGGGCATAGTTCCAAATTGCTCTCCGGAATGGGTTCACTATTCCATCAGCAATGCATTAGTGTTCCAATTTTCCCACATCTTCTCCAACACTTATCATTTTCCTGTTCTGTCATGTTAGCCAATCTGATAGGTGTGATGTGGTACCTCAAAGTTGTTTTGATTTGTATTTCTCTAATCAATAGTGATTTAGAGCATTTTTTCATATGACTATAGATAGCTTTAATTTCTTCATCTGAAAACTGCCTGTTCATATAATAAATGTTTCTTGATTGATTAAAAAAACAAATAAAAAAAATCTGGGAGAGTACTCTTTTTAATATGGTGCTGTGGCCATGAATGACCAAAAGATTTCTTTCTTTCATTCATTCAGTCAGATATTTCAATGCCTACTATAAGCAAGGTGTGACAGTTGGTGCTGGGGGAGATACAAAGGAAGAGACCCTGCCCTCAGGGAGCTTACAGGCTGTTAACATTTTTCACTGTTGGAGGGGAAGAGGTGGGAGGTGAGAGGGAACGAGTCAACCTTACTCTCATCGGATTTGGCTTAAGGAGGGAATAACGTACACACTCAATTGGGCATGGAAATCTGTCTTACCCTACAGGAAAATAGGAGGAAAGAGGATAAGAGAGGGGGGGATGATAGAAGGGAAGGCAGATTGGGGGACAGGGTAATCAGAAGTAAACACTTTTGAGGAAGGACAGGGACAAAGGAGAGAACAGAATAAATGGGAGGTGGGATAGGATAGAGGGAAATATAGTAAGTCTTTTACAACATGACTATTATGGAAGTGTTTTGCATAACTACACATGTATAACCTATATAGAGCTGCTTGCCTTCTCAATGAAGGTGGGTGGGGAGGGAGGAAGAAAAAGAATTTGGAACCCAAAGTTTTGAAAACATGTTAAAAAAATTGTTTTCACATGCAACTGGGAAATAAGATATATAGGAATTGGGGTATAGCAATCTATCCTGCCCTACAGGAAAACAGAAGGAGAAGGGAATAAGAGAAGGGGGTGGAGTGATAGAAGAGAAGGCAGATTGGGGAAAGGGGTATTAGAATGCATGCAGTCCTGGGGTGGGGGAGCGGAGAGATGAGGAGAAAATTTAGAACTCAAAATCTTGTGGAAGTGAATGTTGAAAACTAAAAACAAATAAATTATTTGATAATAATAATAATAATAATAAAAAACAATCTTCACTGTTCCCAGACTCTCAGTATCTCCCCCTGTCTTTACTGCATATTTTAGGTATAAAGAATCTGGCTGGTCACAGTTGAAGGATAAGAAGAAATAAAATGAAGAGAAAAAAAGGCAAGAAATGTGCACACCAAGAACGTAAGTAATCCTTAAGCATGACTAGCTAGGCCATCTGTTTCTGTCGGTTCATGCAAATGATACACAGTCAGAAGCAAATGCTCCTAAGGTCATCTTACTTCACAAAGTCGATATATAAGGATCACTATGGTAGAAAACAAGGAAAATTTCGTACCTGTTTGCAGTATTTGGTCACAGCTGCTCCCAGTGGGTGCTCACTGTTACTTTCAGCAGTTCCCACAATAGCCAGGATCTTATCACGTGGTATTTTGCTACTTTCCACTAAAACCTTCAGCTGGTTCACTACTGGGGTTCCATGGGTTATGGTTCCAGTCTTATCAAAGACCACTACCTTTACCTGCAAAAGTCATATGCATCATGACATTTCATGATTCTCCTTACCATCATCAATTTTGCAATGTTAAGGAGGGGAGTTCCACTTTTGGCAAAAACACTGCCTTCTTATGTATTTTTTTTTAAATGGCTTCCCTTCAATTAATTTTGGGAGGATGGGAAGGTAGGGAGATTTGGGGAAGAGAAAGAGAGTCAGAGCTGTAGTGAATCATCTCTACTCCTCCCCAACCCCACTGTCCACGCTAGACTGTATATGTGTGCTAAACAACTAGAGCAGGGGAGTTCTTAACTTAGCTCCTACAGACCCCAAGGGGGCAGAGTTCAGGGATTCTGTGAACTTGGATGAGGAAAAAAGGGACATTATTAGTTCAATATAATTGATTTCCTTTTTAACTCTGCACATTTGACTTTATGTATTTAAAAACATGGTTCTCAGAAGGGGCCCAGAAGGGGCCTTTCTCAAGATAGCCCAAGGGTCCAGGTCATAACAAAGGTGAAGAAGCCCCACTCTAGACCTTGTTGTGAAGGGCAGACTGGCACTGAGTAAACAGAACCTCTAAACAGAGGTGGAGAATCAGAACCTGGCTTCACAGGCAGCCAGGGAGCTCCATGGAACCTCAGATTAGAAGTTAGAAAAGAAATTGTGCTCAGGTAACCCAGAGTGGGGAGCTCAGTCTAGAGTAGGAACAGAAGCAAACTGAAACCAGAAAGAAGGTGCCCCAATACTGAAGAGGCTGACTGCATGTGGCTTGACCATTGTTCCAACTTTGTCCTAAGCAGGGCTCGATCTCCCCCATGTGCTTAGAGCTGCCTACCTGTATAGGGTTTATGTGTGTATACAAGTAGAGTTTATTTCCTCAGAATAAACACTGGCAAGAATGTAGTTTTTTCTGTAATCAAAAACACAGGTCTGAGATTGTGTGACAGACAGCTTACTCTAAGGAGAGGAACTACAGGAGATAATGGGAGCCCTTCACATTTAGAAAGCACTTCAATGTTATCTGAGCATTATTCCCAAAAGAGCCCCATGAGGCAGGTAGAGCCAATGTTATGGTCCTCATCTTCTCGTATGAGGAAATGGAGGTTCACAGAAGTGACAAGCCCAGGAAAGAAGCTCAGGCCAAGCCCCAGCATGGCAGGGAGCCCTCTGTGCAGATGCTAAGACCATACTCTGGCCCACGCAGTTCTGCATGAACCAGCTGGATGTACCTGCTTCTGCTTACCTTGTGGGCCATTTCAAGGGGCTCTCCACCTTTGATCAAGATGCCATTCTGAGCTCCTACCCCAGTGCCCACCATAACAGCAGTGGGAGTGGCTAAGCCCAAAGAACAGGGGCAGGCTATACACAGCACAGTGATAGAGGCTTGGAAAGCAAATCGGATTATCACTTCAGTCCGGGAGATGCTCTTGTTGTAGCCCTGCAAAGAAAGAAGATATTTTCATTATTGCATCGTAGAGTGCTGAATAGGACAATGGGAAGGAAGGATACTTAGACATTCGAATTCCACCTGGAAACTTGGCTTTTCATTACAAGAGAAAATCTAGAAAGAAATAAGTTTTCCTTTTTTGATTATAAATAAATAAATCAAAGTCAACTATTAAATTGGCCATGCTCCTATGTGTAGAATTTCATTCTTGCTACAGCTAAAAATGGAAAATTCCACACTAAGGGCCAAAGAGAACTTAATTAAATTCAATTTCATCTACAACAGAGAGGAACAATATTTTTGAGACTGCCACTAGAATCTATAAAAATGAATTATTATTTATAAGACAACACGTCATAGTCAAATGAACAATGGATTTGTAGTAAAAGGAGAGACAGTGGTGTCACAGAAAGACAGAGTGGTAGATTTGGAGTCAGAGGACCTGGGTTCAAAATCTCATTCTGCCACTTAAGCAACAGTGAGACCCTTCTGGGGTCTCAACTGAGGGCAGAAAACATGTGTTTGCCTTTATTTGTATTCCAGCACTTAATAAGTATTTGTTGACTGACTCACAAGGTCAGACTAAATTACCTTTAATATCCCTTCCAGCTCCAAATCTATAATTCTAGCAATATTCCTACAGATCTAGTAATGGCAGATGAGTTTCTCCATTAGTTAGGGAAATGGCAGCATTTAGTGATTTCAAAGATGTAGATAAACAAATGCCCTTTGGGGAAAATCCTGCAAAGACACTCGCCCTCCTTGAAATGCAACAGAAATTTCCTGGTAAGAAACAGCTTTCAAAATATGCCCCAGAAATTTTCCAGTTAAGCATGTACTTGACCAGCCTGAACCATTTAAAGAAATCTTTCTTCTTTTTAGATTTCACAAAAGACTAGTAACATAAGACAAATATAGAGCTCTTTCAATTTAGTCCGTTCAGTAACCTAGGGATCTGGCAGTGATGCACCAAGGCCAATTCCCTCTGAAGAGACGTAATAAAGTAACACTCTTGTTCATTTATAGCAATAGGGCTTTCAATAAACATTTGCTGACATTGACTTACTCTTAAGTCAGAAGCTACAGAATCACAGAATTTGAGAGATGAAAGGGACCCCAGAAACCATCTAATCAAAACTTCATTTTACAAAGGAGGAAACTCTGGCACCTAAAGGGAAAGGGATTTTTCAAGGTCACTTTATGTTAGTAGAGCCAGACCTCGAATTCAAGTCTTCTGGTTCACAGGCTACATACGCCCTTTCTTCTATACAACATTTAGAAGACTGTCATAGAATTAGATACAGAAGGCAAGAAAGAAGAGGCCTTAAGATATCATCTAGGAGCGTGTCAAAAAAGAAAAAAACACTAGAAAGGAAATAAAGATAAAATGTTCAAAAGGAAATCAATTATACAAATTTTTAAAAGTACAATATAGGTTTTGGGGAAGTTAGAAATAAAAAAAGAATTCCCAGACTAAGATGCCAAAGGAACATCACACACCTACATGAATGCCCAACATGGCCTCCCTAGCCTTAAACTCTTCTCATATACACCCGAGATTTTCACAAAATATCAGTTTCTGATAAAGCAATGTCCAAGTTAATTACTTACAAAAAGACAGACAGGAAATGTTAAACTTCCTCCCAATTAAAAAATAAGAAATAAAGTTCTTACAAACCACTTACAGGAAAATAGGTTTCCACGACTTCAAAATTAATAAATCCAATCACGATCCAGACCAAGAGGGTAACAACAGAGACAATAACAATGAAAGGAACAAAATAGCCACTAAGTTTGTCTGCAAACTGCTGGATGGGAGCCTGGAATTGCAAAAAATGAAAAAAAGGTTTGATTCTGTCTTTTCTTCTCTTTTTTCTTTTTCTTTTTTACTTTGAAGACAATACATGATTGGCACTGTGGAGAGACATATCATTTCTCGGCCCCCAAACTAACACTGAAACAAATCAGCAACAACCACATGGTCTGGCCCTGCCTCCTTAGGGCCCATCATGATGCTCTGCCCAGAGGAGACATTCAATAACCACTCACTGCTTTGACTTCCTGCCCAGAACACCACACCTACCGAGGTACTGAAAGGCCACTACTTGGACTAGACCAGTCCATACCACATCTCCTAAGAATCTCTCAGCCCAGCCCAGTCACCTTGGATGTCTGCGCTTCCTCCACAAGCTTGACAATTTGAGAGAGGGTTGTATCTGCTCCAACATGGGTTGCTCTGATGAGTAGTGACCCATTCTGGTTAATGGAGCCAGCAATCACTGAGCTGCCTGGTTTCTTGGTGACAGGCATGGCTTCCCCTGGATAAGGAGGTAAGAACAGTTGTGAGGGAGCACGCAGAAACAGCGGCCTGACAATTCTTACTTAGACTTCATTTCTGCAGCCAGGATTTGTGGTGTCACTGGTGTAGAAAACTCCCAGGGAAGAAACTCTTTCTGCCAATTCAGGTGTACAACTATTAATACAACTTAGTCTGAGACAACTGCCTGGGGCACTAAGAGGTTAAATGACCTGCTCAGGGTCACACAGCCAGCAGGTGTTGGAGACTTGAACCCAGGGCTTCCTTATTCTGATGCCAGTTATCTAGCTAACTTGGCACAGTTTCCAATAGTCAATAAACTTTTATCAGATACCTACTATGTGCCAAGCATTGTGCTAAGCACTGGAAATACTAATATAAAAAAAGAACAACAGTTCTTATCCTCAAGGAGCAGGTGGTAGAGATGGGGCAGGCCCAGGAAGGTACTTGTGGAAAACTCAGAGAAGTCCCAAAGTAGTACAGCCAGGTGAGAATGAGAAGATGTTCTGAGAGGGCTTCCTCTTTTAATGGAGGTTTGGGAGTTCATGGCTCCACCCCCCAATCAGAGGGACAGAGAGTGGTGATGGTAAATGTTTACTGACTACTGACAGTTTCCCTTGTATATTACTGTTTGAAAATTGCAGCCAATTCCTGGAGACCTTCCAACTCCACTGTAATCAAGAAAGAAATACAAGGATCCTCAGAACAGAAGGTAGAAAGGAGCCTCATGTACATAACACATCAGATCTGAAGGGGACCTTAGAGACTGTCTAACCTAAAGCCATTTCAAAATGGAGGAAATGGGCTAAGAGGATGTGAGAGAGCAAGTGCCTTGCCCAACATCGCAGCTAGCTGGCCTGGGGGCAGAGCCGAGACTCTCAGCATACTGCCTCTAGTCTATTCTCATTGCCTCAAAACTAAGTAACCCAAGGTTGTACTGCCTGTAATTATCAAAAAGTATTTTCACTGTGGATGGAATCTGGGTAAATAAATGCCTGGTTAATGTTAGCTTTGCCCTCATAATGCACGCACTCCTTTCCCTAAAGGATGGTTCCAGGCCACTTCTGGGGACACAGATCCAGGCCTGGGTAAGCTTAAGGTCCAGGCTGTCATTTGAGATTGCTCCAGCAGCACCACCTTGGTTCTGAATCATTCCTAATCCCAGGGCCAATTTTGGCACTAGCTCAATTTCCTCCAGTTAGGGTCAAGTTATATAGGCTCCCCAAGGCTATTCCACGTCCCTTCTAAAAGAGCCCTCAATGGTGGCATCCTTGCTTCCTGCACCTTGAATGTCCTCTTCCTTCCCCTTTGCATCCATTCAATTTCTGCATGTGTTTTCTGAAGCCCAATAGAATGTTACTTCCCCTAGGAAGTCTGCCCTGTCTTCTCCTTTACCCCAGTGTCGATAAAAATTTCCCTTAGACCTTGAGTGGCGTTTTGTTCTGCAATGATAGATTATAGTGATACATGTTAATTTATTTTCCCCTTACTAGGCTGTAAGATAAAAGTAGGAACCATATTTTATCTAAATTTTATATCTCTTCCAACACCAGTGAGCTGTATACAGTAGGTACCTAATAAATGCTGGATGCATAATAGAATGAACTGATTTTCAGGGGATTCTCTGGCCTGGGGATAACCCAGGGCAGGCCAGGCCAGAACTATTGAGATTGCTGCTTACTAGAGAGGAATCCTGTCCTACTTTAGACCTAAACCCCTGGAGTGCTGCTAAAACTCCACTAGGGATGGGTGACAAGGTTGAACGTATTTGCCCAATAATGCATCAGAGTCCACTGGGTTCTCTATCAGACTGAGTGATTCCACAGTCTTCTTTGGCTACCCACTCCAAGATTCACAAGAGCATAGGCAAACCCCAAGCAAACAAATGATATTTGTTTTTATTACAAATGGGCTTGGTAAAATTAGCTATTTGAATTATTTTCATAGCAGCATGATTCTCAGTGATCATAATGTGCTCATTGCGCTAAAACTTCTGGAAAAACCAAACCCTAAACTAGCTCCCTATCAAACTACCTTGTACCTACTTTGTAGTTATTCCACATAGATTTGCAAATGTGACATGTCTCCTGCAGTAAAACATAAGCTCTTGGAGAGAAGGAATTGTTTCATTCCTTGTCTTTGTATCCTCATCGCTTAGCACAGTGCCTGCCTGGCACATAGTAGGCACTTACGACACAAGGGAGAGAACACTGGGCCTGAAGTCAGGAAAACCTGAGTTCCCACTTACTAGCTGTGTGATCCTGGGCAAGTCATTTGACCTCTGCCTCAGTGTAGTGCCTAGCACACAGTAGGTGCTTAATAAATACTCATTCAATCTATCTGATTGATTGAAAACATTCAATAGTTTGTGGGCTTTTCTATCCTTTCCCAAGCCCCTGAAAGGCCCTACCTGTGATGAGAGATTCATCTACCATCGAATGACCTTCAATGACCCGACCGTCCACTGGGAATTTGCCCCCTGGAACTACTCGAACGATGTCACCTCGCTGCACAAGCTCCACATCCACTTGTTCTTCACTGGAAAGGAATCAACATGCAAAGTCCTCATGACAACCTCCTCCTCCCATACACTAGACAGGCTGTGTTACACACAGATACACAGTTTATAATGACATGGTCAGAGATGGAGCTGCAAAAGGCAATTTCATGGACTCTCTCTGCTGAAACTTCAAATCTGTTGAAGGAGTTTTATAACACTATGGAAACAAAGCCAAAAATGAGAATTCCAGAGGAAGAATTATCAAATACCTCAAGAGGATGTTGTCTGCATCTAGAGTTACAATAGTTGCCTCTGTAGCCTGTAGTGAAATTAGCTTTGCAAGAGCCTCTGATGTTTTCCCCTTAAAAAAAAAAAAAGGAAAACATTCAGTAGTAACAACACTAAAGGAATAAAAGTAAGATAGCCTTCAGATCTGGGATGGCAAGATAGCTGTAGCAGAAAGTTAGTTTGGGACATATAATTGGACCAAATTAGAAAATTTTTCATAACAATTTGGATGGGCACCCAGAATATATTTTTGTCCTATTATTTTTTTTTCTGCTTAAAAGAAGGATTTACTGCAGCTATACAGAACAAATTTCTTGCCTTTGTTAAATCCTTCCATGAGTGTTTAAAATAAGCTTTGTTAAAAATCCTCATCTGTGTCAGCTTTTCAACAGCCATATCAATGTTCCCCAGCCTAGTTCACTGAACCCCCTAACGGCCCTCCTCATTTGCTTCCTTTTACCTTTGCTATGTGCTCCAGCCAGCGCCCCAGCGCAATGAACACAAACAGCATAGGTGGGGTGTCAAAGAAAGTAATGGGATTCACTTTTGCTCTCTCAGCCATCGCAACCAGGAGGATCACCAAAGAGTAGGCAAATGCAATGGTGGTTGCCAGCACAATGAGCACGTCCATATTAGCTGTCTTATGTTTCAGGGCTTTGTACGCCTGGATGTAGAAGTGCCAGCCTCCAAAAAACTGCAATAGCAAAGAACCACAGAGATTTTTCCTAGTGAGTCACAAACAACCATATGAAGGAGCTATAAGTCAGGTAGCTTTGGGTTTATTCCTTGGCAAACTCTGTTTTGGTACAACTTAAAGCTAAGAATGTTTTTTTTTTTAATTTTTAAAATCAAGTTTTGTTATAGTTAAAAATACTCAAACCATTCTTAACTCACTGGCTGTCCAAAAAGAAGGCAAAAGAAGGGTGATGACAGTGGGATTTGGCTTTCAAGTCAGAAGCTAAAGAAGAGACTTCGAGCAGGAACGCTGATGATACATCCCACGAGGCCCTTCAAATGGTCACACACAAGGATAAGCTTTCTGCTTCTCCAATGGAAAGCAAGAACTGTTTTGTGTTTTTCAGTAGCCACTGTACCTGACACATAGTAGGTGCTCAATAAATGTTTGGTGAATGTACACTTGCTTAAAGCCTTTAGGGAAGAATCCAGCTCCTCTTACTTGACCCATGGGCCCAGACTGCTATCCTGCAGACATGTTAGAATGTAAACCCGACAAAGTGGAGGGTCCTGAGATTTTTCTGTTATGTCTGGACAATCAGGGATCAGGGAAAGACTCGCATTCCCTTGTCAAATATACTCTGTATACAAAACTTACTTCCCCTTTTTCTAGGGGAATTTCACAGGATATACAATGTAGTAGCTGTTTTCTTTTTTCCCCTTATGGTAGACTTAAGCAGACTTAAGCAACTGGGAAACGTGTCCTTAAAAATTCCAATGAAGTGAGGGACCCAGACTGTAAAAAGAAAAGCAACCCCCCTCAGGTACAGTTGCCCTTTTTAGTTGAAATTTCAAGATTACTTTGTCTAATGGTCTAATGGTAGCGCCTCAGGAAACAATGACCTCCAAAATCTATTGCTTAAGTGATTAGACAGAAGCACGGTGGAGAAATAACACACATAACATATAAAGTGTACTGACAGATTTAAATACTATAGCTAGTAATTCCTCATGCCTTGTTTCCTACCTTGATAACAAAGACCATCCTGCTTAATTAGCTTTTAAAAGAATTATCCAATTTAGATTTAACTTCAATATAATTATTTTTGTCCTTTATAAAAATTGGATTTATGGTTAATTTCCTGCTTACATTTGAAAATAAGCTTCTGTTTCAGAAGTTTTGATTGTTTCCACAGTATGCAAAAATATCCAACACATTTCACTTGCCTGAACAGGTATACACAATAAAAAGGACAGCAAATTCATGACAGACAGCCCCGGCAGGATCTGATGCTCCAGAAACATTGATGAGTGATAGCTTGCCATTTCTTCCTCACTCATGTTGCGATTCTGGTGAATACTAGCAAGGTGGTGGTCCATAACCATCATATAAATCATCAGCCCCATCACAGGAATACAGAAAAACAAACTCACAAGGAAAGCTCGTTTCCACCTTGAAATTAAAAAAAAAAATAGGAAAATCTTTTTTGTAGGTAGCCAACAATTATAGATCACATATAATATATAGAGATAATAACCTATGACCACTCCACTCAGGAAAATATTGGCATCTGACTGCCAACATTTAACAAGAAGTCCAAAATTGTAATGAACAAGACACTTGGAATTACTCACTGCTGGATTTCTCGTTTATGGTCAAGGTGGCTTGCTGATCGATCCTTCTTGACTAAAGACGCCTCAAAACCTAAGTTCTAAGGAAAGACAAAAGAAAGTTATTTTAAAATATGCTACTCGGGAGATTTTTAGCCAGGCTTTCATGTAAAATGTATTCATCTTTCTCAAAGGGATGAGCATTTCTCTTATTAGGAAATAAATGATGTCTAATAACCATTTAGCAAAATTAGGACATTGTATTTCTTCGTCACTTTGGCACACTGTCATATACTTATGGCTTTTAAGACCTACTGAGGACAGCAGTCCAAAAAACTGGTCAAAAGAAGAGTAGAGACAGCCATAATCTAATGTGCTGATGCTGCTCTCTGTTGACCAATTCCCTGACATGCACATGTTACACACAGATATAGACATGTATCCTCAATACAAACAAGGAATACTGAGTCATTTAAAACTTGGGTTTGGGAGTACACTAACCTATAGGATGATTGTTTCTTGGGCACCAGTCACTATTCCTAATGTCTCAGGAAAAGATCATTTACAAAAATCATTCTGTCACAATGAAAAAGGAAGAGGAAAAAAGGAACCAAACAACTAAGTCTCATCAGATGATAGCCATGATGATAGACAGAAAAAAAGTACATTCAATTGTTGGGGATAAATTCTGGTTACATTTCTTTAGAATAAGGAGGTGGAGGTAGGGGGCTGGGTTCCTATCCTGACCCTGACCCTGACACTAGCTGTGTGATCACATCTTTGAGGTGAATATTCCTTACCTGTAAAATGGGAATAATGACACCTGTGACAATCAGCTCATTAGATTGTCATGAATTTCAGGTACTATGCAAATCTTTAAGTGCTATACAGGTGGCAATTATCACTAGTGCTATTTTTTACTGCCAAAGAACTTTGCCATCCATTATCTCTCCTGATCCAGCATCTGGATTAGATACTATTTATATGAATTGTAAACTTGGTGAAAAAAATAATAATAATGAAGGAAAGCACACATTTGCCATCCTAAGAATTGTACAATAAATAACAGAAAGCCTTTCACATTGAAGCCCAGAGAATCTCATTAAGTGGAGGAGAAGAGAAGCCCCCTCTGTGGAGTAGCATGCACCAGTATTAGAGGTGCTTTTCTTTCTTCTTGTGTGCAGGGGGTAGCAAGGAGGAAGGGGAAACTTGTCCCCCTCCAACCCCACGCCCCTGTAACCATGTTCTGCAAATGGTGAAGTTAAATTCCATGAGATAAAAAGTTGTAAGTCCAGATCAAGTCCTAGTGTGACAAGCATCAACGAAGTGTCTCTATGGTTGATCTAGAGCACAGCCACCAACCTGTGGCCCAAGGACAGGAAGTGGGCAGGAAAAGGGGGGTAGGGAGGGTTAGAGGAAGGAACAGAGATTTACAAGAGCTCTTTCTCAATTACTCAATAGAGGAGGGCAGAATTGTCAGAGAAAAGCAAACATACCTCCTACAGACTACATGTTTCACTCGAATGTGTTTTCCCATTTTTTACATATGGATGCTATCATAATTAATGAAACACAAGTTCACTTTAAATTGTCACCAAACTCACAGCAGCTTTTTGTTAGATCTATTTTTGTTACCAACAGATGGTAACATTCCTCTGTAGAGATCTGCCAAATTTTTTTTTATGTTAAAAAGGGGTTCTCATACTTAAAAAGGCTGAGAATCAATGATGCAGAGTTTGTTATACTGAATACTATTTGAAACAGATAAGTCACAAAATGTTTCAAATGATTAATGAAAACAGTCGTTGTTAGAGGGGCTGTGGGTACATGGGCTTACTTATCTACTTCTTTAGGAGCTGTGAAGTAATTGGTCCAATCCTTTAGTAAAAAAAAAATTTTATTTAAGAAAAGTCACTTAACTGTTCATACCCTTTACTCCACTAATCCCAATACAAGGTATATATACAAAGGTCAAAAACAAAAAGAAAGGTGCCACCTATACCAACATATTCCATAGCAGCATTTTGTCGTGGCAACAAAAAACTGGAAACAATGTAGATGCCAATCAATGGCAGTTAGGTGGTGCAATGGATTGTATGCTGTATCTGGAGTCAAGAAGACCTGAGTTCAAATCCAGCCTCAGATATTTACTGTGTGACCTTGGGCAAGTCATTGAAATACTGTTTGCCTCAGTTTCCTCAACTGGAAAATGGGGATAACGATAGCACCTATCTTCCAGAGTTGTTGTGAGGATAAACTAAGACAAAATGTATAAAGCACTTTGCAAACCTTAAAGAGCTATATGAATGATGGCTATCAACTGAGGAACAGATGAACAAATTGTGGCATGAATGTAATCATGCTATATAATTGTAAAAGGCCATAAAAAACAACAAATATGAGGAAATCAGAAAAATCTGACTAGCTCCTTTTTTGAATCAAAACAGAATGAAGTACAAAAAACTAGTAGAGCAAAATCTTGTAGCCATGACTACAATGATGTTAATGAAAACAACAGTAAAAAGCAGCTGAACTTCGATTAATTGCAATGACCAATCCTGATCCTAAAGAAAAAGATGATGAAACAAACCTCCCTCCTCTCAGTAGAGAGGTGGAGGATTATGGGAGCATAATGTCACATGCACTGTCAGACTGGCCCATTGATCTAGTGGTTCTGCTTCACTGTTTTTCTTTATTACAAGGGAGAGTTAAGTGATTTGGTTGAGAAATTACTATGGTGTAAAAGCTAAAAACATCTTTAAACCCCAAAAAGGAAAGAAAGAAATGAGCTATTATTAGTTGGGACTTGGCAATATTTTTGTTGTCGGAAGAGGCTCATGTGAATGGTTTTGTTTAAATGAGCTTTTCTGTGTATTACGAATATCCTCATGTAGAGATGAACAAAGCAAATTGCTGAAGAATGGAGGAGAAATCAACTATATGGATAGGCATTTGGTCTTTCAGTTCATTTTTCCAATGCATAAATAATAGTCATACGCTTTCACAAAAAAAAACTAAAACAAAAACCCCAGGCAAGTGATGGCCATGAAAATTGCCTCGTGCCAAATTTTCTTTTGCTACCACTTTTTTTTTAAGTTGTCCACATCCATTTCAAGGCTAACCATGATTACAAAGATATCTGCATTTTATACCTGATAAATGGCTTATGTCTTCCCGTCCTGCTCTTTTTTGATAAGGAGGACCAGCAGGAGGCGGTGAGGTTGGAGAGAGTGGGGGAAACCGACTGGCTCAAAAGCCCTGACTGAATCTGAAGACAAATCTTATGGAGAAAAATATGAAGAGTCACAGAAAGTACCCCAGACTGCTGTCTCTGTTGCTGAGCCAGAAAAGAATGATTCTAGGGGATTTTCAGGGAACTGGTTAATTCAGCTATAATTATTCCAGGTTACAATTCAATACTAGAAAGAATAAGTAAGAAATCTTGAGCTGAGCAAATCACACAGTCTGTTTGAAAACTCTGGTCAATAATGAAGTAATGGAGAAAAGTAAAATCTCGGTACTTACTTGTATGGTATTGATAATATCTCTAGGACCGATAATCTCTGGATCATATTTGATGTGCGCTTTGTTGGTGGCCAGCGCTACTGAGCAGTAGAAGATCCCTCTGGTTTTCATAAGGGTAGATTCTATTTTATGCACACAGGAGGCACATGTCATTCCTTTTACCTGTTAAATACAAACATTCGTCTCTTTCTTAAGTAACTTTTTGCTGTATATTGCATTATGGCTAATTAAAGTCACAGCTGTACATAAAACAACATTTTATACAACCAGCAGGTGGCAATCTATTTTCATATATATGTATGTGTGCATGTCTCTGATTGTGCATGTGTGTAATTCTCTAACCTAGGCTCCCTCTAGTATTGCTGAGAGATGGTTACTGAAACATGTACTGAGCAGTAACAGTGGAGCAGACTAGATTTTAGGGTTTTTATTTAAAGTGAAATCATCTGGACTGGTCACCTTGCTTTAATATACCTTCCATAAAATCGTTTGCGATATGTTGTGAAAATAAGGAACTGCATTTTTCCCTCTTAAATGAAGAAATGAAAAAAGAATGCATATTCATCCAAAAAAAAGAGCAATGTACAGTGGAGATCATCAACATATGAGAATCTCTCCTCTCTTTTAAAGACAGAGATTCCACAAACTATCCTGGTTATCTACCCATTCTTATCTCTAAGAACTGTGCCATGACATTCTTCCCCACGTCTAATTCGTGTTATAGTTTAAACTAATTTCTTCTTATTTTGATTTCTCCTGAAAATGGCAATAGATCCAGCTACCATCCTTTGTAGGATAGCCCTTCGCCTGTATCACTTACAGTCTGTCATTAAATCTTCATGCTTTTTGCAGATTGAGTTATCCCAATTCTTTTAGCCTTTCCTCCAAAGTTTGATTTTCTAACCTTTTGACTATCTTTGTGGTTCTACTCTGCATTATCCCCAAGTACTCCATGGAAGGCTTTTAAGAAGGTCTTACTTACAATAAGTTCCAGAACCCCATCCCCTTCGTCAGCATTTTCCATGACCACAGCTCCAAATCCAAGTTCCCTGATGAATTCTGCTATCATTGGGGGCTGCACAATGGCGGCGTTGTATCTTACTTCTGCCTTGCCCGCCATCAGGGCCACGAGCACAGAATATATCCCTGAGAACATTAATAAAAGAAACAATGCAGACAACATAACACCTATAGAAAAGGAGGGGTTTTGTAATTATCTTTTAATTAAAACTAAGGCCAATGGTAAAAATGCCTAAAATTAAACTAGAGAAATTAACCTTTAGGCACAGAACAAAGAGTGACTGGAGGGACTGGTGTTAATGAGTTTAGTGGCCTGTAAAAAGGAACCTACATATCTTGGGAAACCAAAGGTAGGGGGAAGAAATCAGCACTTGATAAAAAGTTTTTTCTTCAAGAAAAATGGATGACTCATTGAGGCAGTGCTCCATCAGACATGGTCTCAAAATGACTGCTTTGCATGTGTTGCTTTGTTCTCTCCAACATGACTAAGCCTCACAAAGTCAGAGCCCAGGTCTTATCTAAACTTTGTTATCTCACCCAGTGCTAGTACAGAGCTTGGTCTATATACAGTAAGTGCTTAGTCATGTGTGCTCAATTGAATTTGTTGAATTTAAGTGCTAAAGGTGAATAGCAAATTAGCCAAGAAAGGAGCAATGTACACTTTGCAATATTATCAAATAAAATTATTTTTCTTCTACTATACTATAGTTTGCCAGTATGTTAATCTTTTTTTTTCTCAATTATGTGCAAAAAATTTTTTAACATTCATTTTTTAAAATTTTGAGTTCCAAATTCTCTCTCTCCTTCCCTTCCCCATCTTGAGAAGGCAAGCAATTTGATATAGGTTATACATGTGCAAAACATATTTCCATATTGGCCATGATACAAAAGAAAACACAGACCAAAAAAAAAAAAAACCAAAAAAAATAAAGTTCAAAAAGTATGCTACAGTCGGCCTTCAGACTCCATCAATTCTTTCTCTGGAGGTAGACAGCATTTTTCATCATGAGTCCTTTGGGACTGTCTTGGATCAGTGTATTGCTAAGAATAGCTAAGACATTCACAGCTGATCATCTGTGTACTGTGTACAATGTTCTCCTGGTTCTGCTCACTTCACTCTGCATCAGTTCATATAAGTCTTAGTATGTTAGATTATCTAAAAGGTATCCCATACTTCAAATTCCTGGATACACAGATTGGTAATGGAAGACTTCATTAGCAAAACAACTACCATATATTTAGATACGAACCTTCTATGAATGTCTCATCTCTCTAATCAATAAACAAACATTTATTAAATACTTACTATGTGTCAGAACTGGGGATACAGAGACAAAAACTGAACAAGAGTTCCTGCCCCTAACAAGCTTATCATCTACTGGAGGGAACAACAGGTTCACAAATGAGTAAAAATAGGCCTTTGTTGTTCATTTGTTGTCTTTGTACCCCCAATGCTGACATCATTTGTCGATGGCAATCAATAAAATGAAATGTTATTGCATCATAAAAAATTATGAAAGGGACAGTTTTGGAGAAATCTGGGCAGACTTGTATGAACTGATCCAGAGTGAAGTGAGCAGAACCAAGAAAACAATTTGTACAACGACAACAACACTGTAAAGGAAAACAATTTGAAAGACTTTAAGAACTCTGATCAGTGAGTGACAATCTTGATTCTAGATGATGAAATATGCTATATACCTCCAGACAGAGAGGTGAGGGACTCGAGATGTAGAATGACACCTATATTTTTGGACATGCCCAATGTGGGAATTTGTTTTGCTTGACTATGTATACTTGTAGACCAGTTTGGCTGGAGTGCAGAGTTTGGGAGGATACTTAATGTATAATTAGCCTGGAAAGATAGGCTAGAGCCAGATTATGAAGAGTTTTAAGTGCCAAATAGAAGAGTTTAAATTTTATCCTAAAATCAATAGGGAACCACTGATGTTTCTGGAGCAAGGGACTGACATGGTCAGGCCCAAGCATAAGTGATAGCAATTTGGCAACTTGTGGAAGATGGATCTTAGAGAGGAGAGACTGGAGAGAGAGATCCAATTAATCCATTGTAATAATCCAGGTGAGAGGTGGTGAGGGCCTGGAATAGGGTGCTTGTGGTTTGAGTAGTGAGAAGGGGATGGGTGTGAGAGATTTTAAGGAAGTGGAAATAACAAGACTTTGACAACTGATTAGATATAGGCAGGGAGTAAAAGTGAAAAGTCAAGAATCACCCCTAGGATCATAAATTTTGCAAATGGAAGAAGGGTGACATCCGTGACAAAAACAGGGAAGTTAGGAGGTGAGAGTTAAAGATTTACAGTGAAAGATGAATTTTGTTTTGGAAATATTGAGTGTGATATCATTGGATCTTAGATTTAGAGCTAGAAATGGCCTTCAAGGTCATCTAGGCCAACCCCTTACAGAAGAGGAAATGAGGCCCAGAGGGGTGAAGTAATTTGCTCAATCTGGTTTCCCAGCCCACAGTACTAAGAAGTGAAAGTAAAGAGCAAAAGACAAAACTATAAAAGGCAGATAGGAATTCCCAAAGACCAGCAGACTGGGACCTTTCAGGGATGGGGTGGAGAACCTCATACTCCTCCATAACCAGAGGGTATCATTGTTTCAAAGTTCAATTCAACTACAGACATCAAAGAGGGAAAGAAAGGTCCAATATATACAAGTATTCATAGCAGCACTTTTTTTTGCCATAGCAAAGAAATGAAAACAAAATGGGTACCAACTAATTTGGAAATGACTAAACAAATTGTAACATAACAATGTAATAAACTAGATACTTAATTGGACATCCATGTGGAGATGTCAAGCAGACAGCTGGATGTGTAATCCTAGAGTTCAAGAGAAAGATATGAGAGAGTTTTATATATAGATCTGGGATCCATTTGCAGAGATAATAGTTGAATAGGTAGGAGCTGATGAGATCAGTAGGGGGGAGAGAGCAGAAGGAGGGGGAAGAGAGAGAGAGAGAGAGAGAGAGAGAGAGAGAGAGAGAGAGAGGGAGAGAGAGGGGGGGACCCGAGGGGGGGGGGGGGGGGGGGGAGGGAGATCTCGAAGAAAGAGGAAAGAAAAGAAGAGAGCCCAGGACATACAATGAAGAGAAAATAAGTCAAGAAGGATAAAGACTGAAAAAAATGCACTGAACTTAGCAATAAAGAGATCTTTTGGTGACCTTGGGAAAAGTAGTTTCCTGTGAGACAGAAGCCTAATTACAAGGTATGGCAAAGGAAGCGAGAGGTAAAAAAGTGTAAGTAGTGAGTGTAGAAAGCTTCTTCTAGGAGTTCGCCTATGAAAAGGAAGAGAGATATTGGATGATAGCTTAAAGGAATGCTAGGGTCAAGTGAAGGTTTTTGGTGGGTAGAGGAGATCGTGAGTATGTTTGAAGGAAATAGACAAGGAGGCAGTGGGTAAGGAGACTTTGAAAAGTAGGGAAAGATAAGGATGATTGATGGGGTAAACTGCCAGAGATTATGGGAGGGACTAGGATCAAGAGTTGGCCCTGGCAAAGGTAAGTGCTACTCCATTCTGGAGCAAAGGAGGAGAGGATAAAGGACAATGCTAAAGTGACTTGAAGTGTAAAGTTGGGGAGAAGAGGGAGAGCACAATGGATGGCCTCAATTTTTTGAATAAAGTATGAGGCAAGGTCCTATGTTGAAGAGTGGGGAGATAGTGGTTGTACGTACATTAAGAAGGCTTGGAATAGCTTCTATGGAGAGTTAGGTTTAGGGGAATGGTGCAAAAAAATCATCATTTACATGAAGTCAACAAGGATTTATATTAAGTACCTACTATGTGCTTGTCACTTCAAAATGAAAAAATTAGATTTACAGACGATCCAGTTAAAACTGGTCTTAATAGGTCAACAGAGTGGAAGAGATAACTCAAAATTAGAACCGAAAACTTTCAGACTAGTATTTGATAAACCCAATATAACAAAATATTTGGGAATATTGGTCAATATAAATATTGGGAAAATTGGATAGCAGTATGGTAAAAAAAAAAAAAAAGAGGGGGCCTTAGAGTTCACTTTTTATACCATGTATGACAATAAATTCCAAATGAATCAATAATTTAATTTTTAATAGAGAAAATTGAATAGGATACACAAAGTCATAACTAAGAATTCCATTATCTTGGGGTGTGGGGGGTAGGGTGAGGAGCAGAGTATGATATAATGATGGCTTCTGTGTGTGGTTGAGATACAGAGGTCTTGAGAATTGGGCAGGCTGGGATATTTGGAATAATGTCAAAGTCGGGGTACTGAACCTAGTTGGGAGAAAGAAGAGTAACATGGAGGTCTGTAGTAAGAAGGCCCAGGACAGGATGAAATGAACTTTAAAGGAGAGGTGGTTATTGAGTGATGGTGGCAGATGGAGGGTCTGAAAGTAGCAGTAGGAAGCAAAGGGTATGTCAACTCTTCCTCTGTTACAGTGTGTCAGGGGATAAGAAAGGAGGAGCAACCAGCCTTAAAGAGGGTGCCAAGAAATGTGGCGTTTTCAGGAGAAAGCTAGGTGCTAGTGAGTACCAGAAGATGAGAGGAAATTGAGAGGAAGAAATCTAGAACAAAGAGTTGATCAATAGAGGGTTCCAGAGTGTACAGTGGAAAGGGAGGTTTGAGAACAGGGACCAGGGAAGGCTAGAGATGGTTTACAATTTAGGGTACAGGTGATAGCTGCCATTTCCTTCTGCCTTTGCTACTGATACTCTCTCTCTATCCCTAGGCTCACTGGTACCAATGATTTTTTCAGGCTTCCAGACCAAGCACCGAATTGCCAACAGTCCACACATTGTGAGTATGTGGGACTTAGGTGAGGGGTGTGATGTGGCCACAGACTCCGGGGGTGGCAGCCCAGTGAGAGATCTAGTCTATCAACCTGAGGGGACAGAATTATGCTCCACCTCCTGAAGCACCCTTCCTCAGATGTTAATGCCTGGGTTAAAAGCCAGTGTTAGTTCTGGCTCTGATAATATTACTACTATGGTTACAAATAGGAGGAAAATTCTTATTCAACCAATAAAAGAAAATATCAGAGGCAAAATATGTGGATATGATTACATAAAAATAAAGAATTTCTTCATGACAAAAAGCAATACATACAGAATAAAAGAGA